AGTTTTCCATTTGGAAAAGGCTATCATTGTGCTTTTATTTATCTTTATTGTTTAGTGTCGGTTTTCTAACTTGAACATTTTCGATAGCCCAGTTGAGGTGGAGTTTGATAACTATTTTGTACTTTCTGCTATAAAAGTATAAGATATATTTTCTCTAATTTTAACGAACAACAGTAACATAGACGAGCATTAGTTTACACAGAACACGATTTATTACGAGTTACACATAAAAAACTATGGAGAATCGACAGCCCTAACAGGTTTTATGTTTTTCAAATTGATATTATTGCGACAATATGAAAACTTACCCAAAAGGCCGAAGTCACCATGACGAATTCTTCTTGGACGGAAATGAATTTCTAGAAGACCAAACCCTTTTTAGTTTTAGCATGTAAGTGTAAGAGAAAACCTGCTGGATTTTCAATCCCCTAATATTTCGCCGAATTTATCATGCATACCATCCTAGTGCGCAAGTCAATAAAAATAATAATTAAACACAATGTTGACAATCGAGACTCTTAATTCGTGCTCTTAAGTTTAGACACACACGCAGTGTCAAGCAAACTACAGCGTTATCAAACTAACTTAGCACTTGACGAATGAAGAAGTGATTCTTCAGAATGATACCGTTAGTTAGCCTCTGGCAGGAGACAGGGGGAATAACAATGTCAACCCAGAAACCATGCACCTGACTGGCACAGACGAGATATACGAGGCATTCACAGAGTGGGGCCGCTGCCCTTGCCGGTCTTACTTGTTCGACTCGTCGAACCCTGCGGGTTTCCACAGAAGACTAAACGTGTGAGTACGACAATGTATACGTAATATTAGATTAAATGAAGTAACAACCACAGACCATGATTGGTACACTGTGAAGAGATGACCTAAATGATTGTAGAAACTTTCCGGAAATAGAAACATTGAAAATAAGGAGCAAGGTGAACGTTAAGCTTAAAGTCACAAAGTGTGGAAAGTTGGTAACCATATGACCTTTTCATTAAAGATAAAAGGGATTTTTAGGCTTAAACTGAAAACTTCATACAAAATGTTCAAATATTTTTAAAAGATCCTTATAACTAGTTAAATTTCAATACACCGTATCATCTAGCCGTTAAGTTGTTTATGTAAGATATTTTGGGACTTCTACAAAATTAAAAAACTAGATTTTAATGCTTCACCAACAGTCTTTAATATTGTGTATATCCAAATATGATATATATATATTTATAGCAAAAAAGGTTAATTCCATCACATTTGTAGTATTTAAATAAAATAACTGATTAAATTTGTTAGTTAATCCATTGAGATTTACAAAAAATAAAAAAATAGTATTTTGAGGTGTGAAAGTGTAAAGTAATTAGTCATTAATAGTGGGCATCATTACCATTGAACAATATTGAATATAATTCTACTTACACATGTTATGGCGAGCACGAGCCAAGTTTAAATGTGTCATAGTGCAATTAATATATAATTGTGCTGAAGAAAAGCCGGATTCAGAAATCCGTTAACTAATCCAAGCTATTTCAACTGTAAGTAACACCATGTTAACTGCTAAGCGTTTGAATTTAATAGCCAAGTTCAATTTCTTTAGTATAACATGTTTCCATGCTGAAATTTGAACTAAAGTTTGATATATTTTTAGTTTCGTTGAAGTATTTCCTATTTCTTTTTGATATAACCTGTTTCTTTCCATACCAAGCTGAAATATATATATGCTCAACTAGATCAACCCTATAATTTGTAGTGTGACGGATTTATTATTATATATCTATTATAATATCGCTAGTGTTAGCGTCAGTATTATTACGTAAAACTGAAATTTCAAGGAACTCTCCTCTCGTCTATAAATATAATCAACGCGACGCGCCAAAAAAGTATCTGTTATTTGCTCGCTATAGTTGTTAAACTATAAACTTCGTAAGCTATAATTGTGATTAATGCTTATCAATCGGAAAACTTCAGATATTTGAACAGGATTATTTATAAATTTCAAACATTATAAACCATTCAACTTCAATGGATTCACATCGAACATTAGTACTTTCACAGGTCGACCTGTAATCGGCGTGTGATCAGCCAGTCCCATAAAGCTAGCTAGCTCCATACCTACGTCAACTCGAAATTAACTCTCTCATCGTGAACCCTCGATAAGACATCAAGGAAGTTCCATATTAGAAAGAAGACTTTACATTGCTTGTAAGTTTATAAAACTTTTGTATATAAATCATTGTTTGTGATAAGTATTTGTAAATTTTATTATTGGTTGTGTATTAGAATATATTTGTATTAAAAAAGAATACGGTGTGTATAAATCCTGTTGGCAAATATAATAAATTGGATACATATTGGCATCTATTTAATTAGTAAAACTAAATTACAATTTAACTCAGTGTCAGGCTATTAGAAATTGTAATACGTAACAGTATGTGCTAAATTAGTACAACCCTATAACTTGATTTAATTTGTAATTAGTCATTAAAAATAAGTATATGCTCAACTAGATAAACCCTATAACGTGATTCAGTTTTTAATTAGTCATTAAAAAAATAAATATGTGCTCAAATAGATCAACCCTATAACTTCTTTCAGGTTGTATTTAGTCATTAAAAAATAAATATGCACTCAACTAGATCAACCCTATAACTTGATTTAGGTTGTAGTTAGTCATTAAAAAAAGATATGTGCCCAAATAGATCAACCCTATAACATAATTCAGGTTGTAGTTAGTTAATAAAAATAACTACGTGCTAAACTAGATCAACCCCATAACTCAATTTAGGTTGTAGTTAGTCATTAAAAACTAAATATGTACTAAACTAGATCAACCCTATAACTTGATGCAGTTTGTAGTTGGTCATTAAAAAAAGATATGTGCTCAAATAGATCAACCCTATAACTTCTTTCAGGTTGTAGTTAATTATTAAAAAATATATATGTGCTGAACTAGATCAACCCTATAACTTGATTCAGTTTGTTGTTAGTCATTAAAAAATGAATATGTATTCAACTAGATGAACCCTATAACTTGATTCGGTTTGTAGTTAGTGATTAAAAATAAATATGTATTCAATGAGGTTAACCCTATAACTTCATTTAGGTTTTAGTTAGTTATTATGAAATAAAAATGTGCTCAACTACATCAACCCTATAACTTGATTCGGTTTGTAGTTAGGGATTAAAAAAGAAATATGTGCTCAACTAGATCAACCCTATAACTTGACTCAGTTTGTAGTTAGTGATTAGAAATAAATATGTATTCAATGAGATCAACCCTATAACTTCATTTAGGTTTTAGTTAGTTATTATGAAATAAAAATGTGCTCAACTACATCAACCCTATAACTTGATTCGGTTTGTAGTTAGTGATTAAAAATAAATATGTATTCAATGAGATCAACCCTATAACTTCATTTAGGTTTTAGTTAGTGATTAAAAATAAATATGTATTCAATGAGATCAACCCTA